CACACACACCGGGGTCGTCGCAATATGCGTTTTCGCATTTGCATATTATGCAAAAACGCATAACAAATTCGTGGATCGAAACATCCCTGCTTAGCCGATTAATTTTCTTCACTACCACCTTTCATACAAAGAGTACTTTTTTCATACATAAATCTTTATGTGCTATTTTTATCTAATTTTAGACTTATTATAACTCATAACTTATTGCCCTGCTTTGTACTGATTGTTGTTATGCAGAACCACGGCTTATTAGAACTTTTAACTATAAACCGGACAGTTTAACAAAGAAAGATTTCTCTACAGTTTCGCCGGGTGGGATTTGGCTTTTGGCGGAATATCCTGACGAAATATTGGCGAACTACTTTGGTGTAGTATCGAGGGGCAACAAAAAATGTCGCAGCTCCGTCGTAATTCCGCTCAACTTCTTAACTTCTTTCAGCCCAAAAGTAAAATTCGCTTAAACAGCAGCCCCATAATTCTGCAAAAATCCGCGCTAATATCTATTATTGTACCACAAAGACGGAGGATGGTGGATAGATGTTCTAGAATCGTCTTCAATATTCTTAACATTGATTGCTCGAGGAAGATGGATTACATCATACCAGTCGTTCATTTCCTTTTATAAGTTTTCACACATATTATTGGAAAAAAAGAAATTACAGATAGTTTTATAACTGAGTGCCTGTCTGTCTTCATGACTCAGTTCAGGACTGGAAAGGCCAGAAACTGTATGCTGATGGCCTCAGTTCTCAACATATATGGACCGCAGTATGCCTACTTTCTCAGACACAAAAATACAAGTTTGGTCTTAGTCACACCTGTCCCATCGCATATGCAATACGATATCCCAAATCTTTATCCGCGATCAACCGGTTTTATCATTCAGGAAACAGGTCAAAAAACGATTGTGACGAGTGTGTTTTGTTGCATGCCACCACTGGGACCCGAAAATTTTATCGTAAAAAAGCATAATCGCTTCAGCTTCCTAGTGCATGCCACTGTTTGTGCATTATTGTGTACATGCCTGAACACTTCCGAGTAAATTACTGCACCGTGGACGCCTACACCAATTGTCCGCTTTCAAAGTGCGCGTAATTTTGCAGAAATTACTCTTTGCGACCCATTTTTTGCAGTAAAAGACAAAGTTTAATGGTTGATAATTTTTGGCAAGTGAATGCAGAGACACAGGTTTTTGAATCTTAACTTCCATTTTCTATTTTTGCAAAATCTGGATAGAAGACTAAACATTTATATAGCGTACTTTTTTTTTAAAAAAAA